TGATGCTGTCGTATCTGCTCTTGAGTCTTCATTGGCTTCGTCGGAGATAACTCCCAGCGTCACTCTGTCATCTTCCGCCACTACTTCGTCCCTAATTCATTCCCTTTGCGTTCATCTTTACAAAGCCGACAATTCCCTTCTGCGCACTCGCGCCATGCTCAGTCATATCTACCATCACGCCTTGCACAACGACTTTTACACAGCACGAGACATGTTACTCATGTCGCATCTGCAAGAGTCAATTCATTCTGCGGACGTTGCAACGCAGATACTGTATAATCGAACCGTCGTACAGCTCGGGCTTTGCGCGTTCAGATGCGGGTTGATAAAGGAGGCCCAAGCAACGCTGCAAGACATCTTTACAACACAACGTGTGAAGGAGTTGCTCGCTCAGGGTGTCCACCAGCAACGCTTTCAACAACAACTCACACCAGAGCAAGAGAAGGCGGAACGGTCACGTCAATTACCATTCCATATGCATATAAACACTGAGCTTCTCGAGGCAGCCTTCCTCGTATCCAGTATGCTTGTCGAGGTCCCCCTTCTTGCCAGCATTGAGTCCGAGGAGCAGAAGCGCAAGGCGATCTCAAAGCCGTTCCGCCGATTACTCGACTTTGCAGATCGCCAAGTGTTCACAGGCCCTCCTGAAAGTACACGCGATCACATCATGCAGGCAAGCAAGGCGCTACAAGACGGCGAGTGGGAGAAATGTCGCGATCTTATTCAGAGTATTAAGATTTGGAGTCTGATGCCTGAAGTTGTGTCAGTCAAGGAGATGCTTGCGAAGTGCGTTTTACTATCTAACCTACAATTCTACCTCTAACCACTAGATACAGACGTATTCAAGAGCAAGGACTGCGCACGTACCTTTTCACATATGCCCCTTATTACAGCACGCTCTCACTATCCCTTCTGTCGCGCACATTTTCTCTCCCGCTTCGCTCCGTTACATCGATGATTTCCAAGATGATTTGGAATGAAGAACTGTCAGCGTCTCTTGATCAGTCAACTAGTGTGGTGGTGTTCCACCGCATCGAGCACTCACGTCCACAGCAGCTTGCTCAGGTTATTGCGGACAAAGTTAGCGCACTTCTCGAGCAGAATGAAAAGGTCCTTGATATCAAACTTGGCGGTAGCGGGGGATGGGGTGATAGGAGTGGCGACAAGGGTGAGAAGCGTGGTGAACAAACTCAAGAACGTAGAGGAAGGGGAGACAGGACACGGGGAAGCCTGCGTGGTGGTGCACGTGGACGTGGCTCGCGGTTTGCTCAGGGTCTTGGTAATCAGATGACAAGAGTACGATGATCTTCATGATGTGTCAATGTTGTCTTCTGGAATGTATGCTGACATGACGGCTCGTGAAAACTACCTAATATTATTCCCACTTCTTAGCTGAGGATAACATCTGCAAAACGACTGAAATGAACGCTTACTAAGGCTATGTACAGACTGGCAAAATTCGCCGAATCAAAATTCAGAATTTGCTGTCATGTGACACACAAAGGGTGATCCTGGATTCCTCGACTTACACCTAATATCAATACATACTATAGTATGCATGCCATTACTGCACAACAAACTCATGCTTTGTGTCCACAAAACAACCAAGATCTCTATTGGTGTTGCTACCTCATGCTTCTTGCGTCCATCGTAGCTCATATCTCAGCCTTATACTACCAATTAGTCTTAACTCCACGCACTACCATCCCATACCACACTTCAGCCTTAAGTGGTCAAGCTTGGGTTCTTGAACTGATGACTGGTCACCCAGACAGAATCAGAAATAATCTAGGTGTTAGCTTGGGAATATTTGAAGAGCTGTTGGAACATCTGAAGGCCAATGGATTTGCAATTATCAGGTACTTCAAGCGCGTACTAGCATTCTTCTCAAATGACCCTTTCTATTCCTCTCAAATTCAATTCCCCACAAGCATTTCTCTGATCCCTCCATCAATTCATGATGACCCTCACTTCCAATTTTGCAACAAATGTATTGGAGCTGTTGATGGAACCCACATACACACATTCACATCGCTTCCTGACCAAGCCTTCATGCATAATTACAAGGGTTCTATTTCTCAAAATTGTCTTTTTATATGTGATTTTGATTTCTTGTTTATCTACTCACTTTGTGGCTGTGATGGCTCATCTGCCGATGCTCCACTTTGGAACAATAACCGCCAGCATGACTTATGGATTCCCGATGGAAGATACCTCTTTGCAGATGCAGGATTTGGAACATGTGATGTGGTACTGATTTCTTATAGGGGCGTGCATTATCATCTCAAAGAGTGGCATCAGGCATCTCTTACATTTGTTTTTATTTATTTTTTGTAACTATTCACATCTGATGCACATTTAAGCCCACAGAATGCAAAAGAACTCTTCAACCTTCAACACACCTCACTTTGCAACATAATTGAACACATTTTTGGGGTAATGAAGCACCAATGGCACATCTTGCAACTCCCTCCCGAATATCCCATGGATATCCAAGCACTACTACCGATGGCGCTCTGTGCATTGCACAATTTCATTCGCCGCTGTGACCCTGATATACTCGAACAAGATTTTCCCCACAGTGATCTTGCTGATCTGATACTTGCTGATAATGACATGGGTGATGTAGTGATGCAGGGGGAGCTGGCTGGTGGACCTGCAGGTGCTGTGGAGAGGAGAAGAGCTGATATTTGTCATGATGAGATAGCTGCTGAAATGTGGGCAGATTACATAGAAGAATGAGCACATTGTGGATTGGCAGTACCTGCACCAATGTAGTTATATATCAGATACTGAAATTCATTCATCAGCACATATTTAACAAAGAGGAAGCAACATAGGTCTTGGAAAGTAGGAATGAAACACTACAAGTCTACAAATTGTTATTGTTTGCACGAATGTAAGAGAGCTTCCTTTGCAACCATAATACCCTATATTCTGCATTACTGATGTTTGAAAATACTATCGCCTCATTCAAGTTTGATGATAAGTAGTCCATGAGGATCATGACATCATCTGGAGTCAAATCATCAGTATGAGTAAGCAGATTGACTGCATGCCCAAGGTCAGTGGCAGGAGGACAGTCAGGAGGAGAAACAGTTAGATTTTGAACAATTTGAGGAAGAGTCCCTGCAATTGATGTAAGCGCTGCACTACCCTCCTGCTGGGCTATTGCAGTTACTGAAGGAGGCCAGTTTTGCTTAGAGCAGGATTGGTCTCCTTCACTCAGTGCACTGGATTTGTACTTGCTCTGGCTGATGCTTGTCAGCCCTGAGCCTGAGTCGCTTGTAGCATAATATGATGGTACAGAGGGTGAAGATAGTGAGGAGGAGGGTGGTAACATAAAGTTGGTACCTGGTCTTGTCACTGGTGGTGGTGGAGGACCCATAGTGATATTCTGACCAGTAGGATGACTGGAGGTGGTGGTAGGAGTAGATGGTGGGGGAAGCATATACCAGCTGGGCCCAGTATGAGACTCCACTGCAGAAGATGATGATTCCGATGGGAAAGGACTGGCAACAGCCCTAGCCTTTGGCTGATGGGTGGTGTACTTTCCTTTGGCGGAGATCAGCTCCTGAGGTATCATCTGTTCAAGAACCTCAAAGTGCGGGAACCCTTTATTCTTGTATGGTGCTGCACCAGGGTGGCTTTGAAGTTAAAGAAAATCAGTAGACTTTTTGTTTGATATAACTGTTACGGACTTGGATAGTGTCTGTTGGCGACGCTCAAACAGAGTGTGTGTTGTCAACGGTTGAGGATGTCTCTGGGCTAACCCAAAGTTAGGAGCTTTACTTGGCGAGGCTTTGGCAAGTAAGGTTTAACGCCGATGTCCAAATCGGGTAGCTTATGTCAAGCGGGGCTCGATGATAAGCGTATCTGCCAAGGCTTACAATACCTGAAGGTTAATTGTAAGATCTGCATTAATAGAAGGACAGAAGTCTGACTAATAACAGGGGCTTTTGCTCATCGACTTCGTCGATGAGTAAAGATCGAGACTAAAGATTTATCCGTGATGAGCAGATAAGAAAGTAGAATATAGACTGCTGGCTAGGCAGAAGGAATCACTCTTGTTAGGAGTAGGGGGTCAAGAACCAAGTAGATTCAAGTTAAGGAACTAGATACATGGTAGTGAGTTTATATAGAAGAGAGGAATCATATTAGTGGATGATAACTTGTACTACCAGAAGAGGAACAGGTCAAAGGGTGATACCAAAGAAGGAAGGCACGTTTGAGGTGAGTCATAGGCGAACTGGAACGTGCAGATAAGAAATAAGTCAAAGAACAGAAATAAGAAATGAAACAAGCAGGGGCATAATCGTGCAACTGTGGAGCTAAGTATAAGTACAATGTGCAACTGCGCACCAAGTCATAGGTCAAGAAAGGAAACAGGGCAAAGGGGATGCAACGTGCATCATATCATAGGTTAACGTCCAGACGGTAAGGGTAAGGGGGACTGCCCACAGGGTTAGTCATGGGGTGGGACGGAGCATGGGTATGCTTCATCAGAGAAAGGGTCCGGCCAGATGTACTGGCTCTGCTGGAGCAACAGGTAGAGAGCAAAGGGGAATGCGAGGATGACGAGGATAACAAGAGCAAGGTCAGGGTAAGGGTGTGATGCAAGGGCAGAGACAAGGAGGATAAGGAGAAAAATGGTAGGGGCCCAAGCGTCTAGATGTTCTTGTAACAATAACAGTACTACATACCTTGGCATATCTCTCCCAAGTATCTCCATGCTCATCTGTAATTCCAGCTCCATGTTTCTCACTCCATGAGAAGCCTGATGTTGTATTCTGCGTAAGTGCAAGGAACGAGTACATACACAGAATGAGGTCTACATGAAAATTAAGTTTTGAGACACCGCTTTCTTGCTTAGTACTATCACTTGCAAGAAAATTCAATTTCTTGATGACTAGTACTGCACTCGTCATCTATCACTCTTTCGCATCTTTATCATATATCATTTACATTTATGGACCAAATTCGTCATGATCCTAACCTCGATGTTTGTCCTGACTATGCATCAGACAACTGTGCACAGACATGAGCGCTACTCAAGAACAATCAAGTGAATTGAGTACAAGCTATTCAAATGCTTAGAAATATTTGGGAGGCCAATAACAATGCTGCCAAAGCTTGATGGCAGGTACAACAAGAGGAAGATAGACATCGTCAAGAAGATTACTGGCTCAGAAATGAAGAAAAACAAGCGGACAGAGAACACTTACAGGTAGAAGAAGCCGAAGCTGCGGTCAAAGAAGATCGCAAAAAGTACAAGTCCAAATACGCCCCCATTATAGAGGATCTAGCAGTTCTGAACGAGCTGACAATTATTCCTTCATTGTATGCTATCCAAAAGCTAGACAAGGGTGAATATGTCAAACTCTGGTATTTCACTAACACCGGTCTAGAAGAAGCCAAGACGAAATCAACCATTGAAGATGATGCAATGATCATGTCTACTCTTCCAGACAGATTGACAGCATGGGTCATGGCTGCATCTGCACACAATGCTAAGGCCATTATCGAAGAGCAAAACTTATCCTTTGAAGATTTTTGTCAAGCATGTCCATGATTCATCGCAGCCATGGAGACAGCAGGATGGCCGACAGAGCAGACTAAGATGACGGCTCTTTTCTGGTGCAACATACAGATTCATGATTACTGATCAGAAACTGACCCATTGTCCTAGAAGGCGCTTCTTGTTTATCAAGCTGAACAGCAAAAGTGATGGCACCTAGCCGTCAAATCTATGGCAGGAGTCTACAACTTATCCATAATCAATGAAGTTTTGTTAGAACACACTAAGACCAAAGTGTATTGGGATGACAGAAAAGCTAAAGACAATGAGCATGATTACAAGGTCAGTTCGATTGAATACGGAACCAAAAACGATTTACTAATTAATATCAATCCTTTCAAAACAACTATTGTATTACCACAAATGACTGCTATGTGACCACCATGCCACTTGTCAACCTTGCTACATGCTACACCCTGCTACACCTGCCACATGCTACACCCACCTGCTACACCCATTGACGATGCACATTAACACATGCTCGTCATGGTTATTACTATCACCTTTTGGTGTCATTTCAGACAGACCAAAGGATTAATGCCTTACTCGCTGCTGCAGACACTCCTTCAAACAGTCGCACACAAGGCCACAACAATTCAGGATTCACTTGCGGCAATTGTGAATGGTCAGCATCTCCCGCTAATGTCGGTAGCTCCAAATGCTCCCATCAGTCTTTTTGCAAAGGCGCAAGTGGGGGTGTCCTCTCCACTTGTGCAGTCTGCCTTGGACGACACTGTCACAAGATTGTCGAATGCAAAGTGACAAAGACATGGGACGAAGTGTTCGACTCACTGTGCCTTTGCTCCAATAAAATTCTTACAATGCAAGATGGCAGACAAATCTGCAGTGACTGGCAATGAGTATAAGGCTGCAACAACACCACTCACAATCGCAGACACATATGTTCAGGATGCACAGCCTCGACTCATGGAGCTTAAATATGTCCTTGAGCACAGAAAGCTTAATCCCATTACCCCATATCGAGCTGACACTTGGCAAGCACAGCTTGAACGAGCAGGTCTTCTTTACAGATATGCTCATATACCAGAAGGTTTCAGAATGAGCCCTTCAGCAGGAGCATACGGCTGTGTGGCAGATGCAGGGCTCAATATTCTTAGGTTGAAAGGAATTGGGCCAGCATTATGATGGGTTGACGATCATCTCTTCTTTTGCATATGGAAAGAATTTCTTGCAGCATATAATGCACAACGGGAAAGCTGGCATCGAGATATTACTGTGAGAGGACAACACCAAGATGGCAGTTGAGTTTGGTTTGGGGGTCATATATTCAAAGACAGGACTCTTGAGGAGTTCAACGAGGATTGCCTGCTTTCCACTCAAAGACTTATCAAATTCATCTCCCTGATCAGATGAAGATAATTTATACACCTACAACTTTGAGGACATCAACCAAGAGTCCAATGAGTTTGGAACTCCTTGGGAAATTTCTAAAGATGCACAATTTGCCTTTGCAAATAAGTATATCAGCATCATCTTTGACTTACACAGAAGTTTGATATATTTCTCTGATGAAAAGAAGCAGAAGTACTTGCAGGTCAATACAAGAATGGCATGAACAAACGAGACACGTACTTGCTGACATCCAAAAGCTGTATGGTAAACTCCTTTACGCCACACTCATCATTTCACAAGGCCGAGCTTACCTCACAACCCTGGAGGACATGTTGCAGCTTTGCGCTGACCAACCTTATCAACCAATGTGGTCAACTAAAGGACTTAGAGCGGATTTGGATTGGTGGAGTGTGGTACTTCAATCTGAAGAACTCACAAGACCGATACCATGTCCTTTGGTTTTGCATGATCTCGCAGCTTTCTCAGATGCCAGTTCCACCATTGGCATCGCAGTCATCATTGGAAACAGATGGAGAGCCTGGAAGCTTATACCAGGATGGAACATGCTCAACGGTGAGAAGGACATTGGTTGGGCAGAAGCTGGCGGATTCGAACTTCTCATTCGACACCTTATCAACATGGGTGGAACACAACAACACTTTAAACTCTACGGAGACAACCAAGGGGTCATTGAAAGTTGGCGAAATGGATGGAGCAGGAACAAAGCTGTCAATACCACATATTACAGTGACATATTTCCGTATTATATGGGTCACCCGACCTACATAATATCCCGTATAAGATGGGCCAGCGGACTATGGGCCGATGTTATGTATATCCCCGATGTTGACAGATGGGCCAGGAGGGATATTATTTCCGATGGAGACAGGTGGGCCCATCTATGCTGATATTATATATATCCTTGAAGATGTCAGGTGGGCCGATGTATGCAACATATCCATTTTTCCCTCATTGCATAACTCACTGAGTGTCGAGTACCAAAACCCAAAACTTGAGACCCGGTACACAAATCACCAAGTGCAGAGTGCCAAGTGCCAAGGCCCAAAACCCGACATCTGAAGCCCAAATTCCGAAGCCCAAAACCCGAAAACATGTATGCAATATTTCCATTTTTTACTCATTGCACAAATCACCGAGTGTTGAGTGCCAAAACCCAAAACTCAAAACCCAGTGTGCAATAGGCAAAGATAATGAAAAAATGGAAGTTGTTGTCTGAGTCTAGGTGAGTGTATTGGTAGTCTTTTCTTGTCCATCGGTTATCATTTGACCAAGATATAAGCTAAAGAAATCTGAAACATCGGTGAGAATGAAACATGAAAGTTGTAGTCCAAGTCAAGGTGAGTGTATTGGTAGTCTTTTCTTGTCAATTGATTATTTCATTACTTGGTACCTGGTGTAATGATAGTTGTGGCACTGGGCTCAAAACCCGTGTTTTTGATACTCACATCAAACAGTATTTGTCCGACGCATCCCTGACATTCCAATCCTGATCCCAACGCCCGACCCCAACCTGAAAGTTTCGGACCCAACGTTTTTGCATCGGACTCATCCTTCCTATGTCCTGTCTAGTTATATCTATCCCCACTGGTGCATATTTACTCGTTTTCACATTATTGAATATTACAGACAGTGTTATTACATGTAAGCATAGACCATTGCACTTTTGACATTTTTCACAATTTTCAGTATCTTGCCCTTGCATCCATGATCCAACCTTTTAATATATAATGAGCATAGCTTATATTATTGCCTCTTATGACCAAGATCAGCTCACAATAGGCTGGAGTTTGTGAGCTAGTGTGCATACTTGCTATTTCTCCTGATAAGGCGCCCATACCTTCAAAACATTGAATCTTCATGATCAGAAACCTGGAGTACATTTAAAATATATTAAGTATCACAGACATAAATTTACAGACAAATCCGCCAAGAATTGAGTACTGAGGAAGTGAAATAGATAAGAAATGGAATGTGGGAAACTTCAAAGACCCAAAGCATCGAAAATGGTCAGTGAAGCAATAATAGGACTTTAATGCTGAGTCAACTCATGTTTTCACTATATCCCTTCCACCCACCCCCTACCCTCAAGGCAGTAGGCAGTATGGGTTCCTTAGGTAGTTTACAATCTATCCTACATATTTTTAATGAAATCTTTGGCCTGAATCATCTATAAATGCGACTTTGTAAAAATATGTCTATTGTCACATTTCACACATATGCCTGTCATTACATCAATCCTTCATGGATCTTTCTAAACTATTAGGGCTATTATAATGGACATATATGGGTGTTATTCCAGGTCTCTGATCTCATCACAGGCTTGTCATGTTGGATATCTCAACATAATGTGCAAGTCTCGCTATTAATATTCATTCTTTTATCTTTATGCTCACTTACTGCACACATGTACAAATGCACACCTCATCTTTACATCATTGCTAACATGCCAGACAAATATATAATCCTCATACCTGCATCATCCTACCTCAGTCTATTTGTTCTCAGACTGAGGTATGACTATACATTCATTATCATACTCGACACTGACTAACATTTAACATAGTCTTCAAATAATCCCCAATTGACAAGAATGACATGAGTATGAAAATCAGTGGTTCCGAGCCCAGCACCGCAACCATCACTACATTGAGTACCAATACTTGGTAGGACCATCAATACACTCACATAGACTCGGACTACAACCTTCATTAAGAAAGTTAAGCATAATAATGATTTTCATTTTTTCATTATCATTTTCCTATATTGACTAGCGAGTCCCGAGTGTTAGTTGTGTGGTGACTTCACACTAGATAGGTCGAAGACTTCTAAGACTTCGAAGACTTGAAGGACACTTCAAGGACATTACTATATTAGTAGATAACTTCGAGGACTTCGAGGACACTTTGAGGACAGACCTCTAAGACACTTCGAGGACACATACCATACTAGGAATTGTTTATATTTGTTTACATAGACTCGCCCATAGTGCAGAGTTCACAAGTCTTACATGCTTCGTGCATTGACTTTGAACTCTCAGTTATTCTAACAGGTTATGAGCCCTGCGCTTTAGCAGTCAAATCTGTCGCTGGAGTTCACTGTCTTTGGGCCAACATAGTGCGCATTTTCTCTCCTCTCGCATCCAGCCACTGGTACTCTCCCCACCCATTATCCCTTGCTCTCTTTGTTGAAAATTAGCAAAGACAGCCTTTCCTTTGAATTCTACCAAGCCCTTGCCCTTAATTCGTCCCACTGCTGCAAAACTGCCCTGTCTCCCTTGCCATGTCCTCAGAAGACTCGAAATCTATTCACACTGTCACCAAACTCACTTCTACCAACTATGCTACTTGGAAGGGTGAGATGAAGGCCTACCTTCGAGTTAAGGGTCTCTGGTTGCTTGTCAATGGCATGGAGACTCGACCTACAGAGACAGAAGCTGCAGCAAAGTGGGACACCAAGGCAGACAAGGCAGCTGGGGAGCTGTATCTGGCGTGCTCTGTAGAGCAAAGGACCCATATCGACGCTGTCCAGGACGACCCTGTCAAGATTTGGACCACCCTGGCTTCCACGCACCTCCAGAAGCGTCCTGGCGCGCGCTTCAATGCCTGGGACGACTTCTTCTC